ATAAAAAACATAATTACTCCACCTTATGTGGCTGCAAGGAATGTCAAGCAGTTAGCACAGGAAATTGCCCCAGCCTTTGAGGAACTGAAGCAAAAGGTTCCAATTAAAGAAGCCAAACTAATTTCTTGGAAATTCCCTCCCACAGGCTGTGCAAACTTAATGCGGATGGATACTCCAAAGGAAATCCCGACAAGCGGGAATTAGACTGAATGCTGTGCTCTGGGCCATATACAAAGGACTCAAATTCGTTGTTGACTTGGGAAGGAGAGTAGTAATCGAAACAGATTCATATGAAGCCTACTGTCTCATTCTAGAGCTTCATGAAGATAGTCTCCCAATGAAACACCAGGTGGATAATTGCAAGCTAATCAAAGGATTCAACTATTTTAATGTGTCACACACTGACAGAAGGAAATCAATGCGCAAACATGGGAGTAAACCGAGATGAAGAATTCGTAGAGTTGTAGCCTCCACCAAAAGTACTCTCAAACTTCCGAGGACGAATTTGGGGAGACCTTTTTTTTGTAAGGAACCCAGTTAGTATTTGAAAATCATTATTAGACACACTTATGATATTTTATACTGTCAGTGATAACAGGAAAAAGTTATCAACAAATTTAGACCATGAAATTATAGAAAAACTAACATATAAAATAATTTTCAAGTTAATCAAAGTGGTTGAAAATAGTTTGGTAGAAAAAATTTGTTGAATTTATTAATTCTGAAGTCTAAAAGCTTTACTATCAAATTTTCAGAGGCTCGAGAAACAAAATTAGATTTGATTTAAAGTGTACAAAAGTTTTATTTAGTGACCTAAAATCAAAATTATACTTAATTAAACTCGTATCTATAAGTTTAAATAGGGACCTCGAAAATAATTTTAAATTAATTGAACGTGGGTTTAAAATATTTTTAGGGCTTCGTGAACAAAATTAATTTTATTTTAATTTGGGTCTTAAAATTTTATTTGAGGTACTTAAAATAAAATCATAATTAGCAAGCATTGATCTAAATTTATTTATTTGGGCCCTCAAACATAAATTAGGCTTGAGTGGTCCAGAATCTAAAAATTCTTGAAATAAAATTAAAATTAATTAAACTTAGATCCAATAAAATTATTTGGAACTCTAAAAAATTGGAGACCCTAGATGTCATTTTCTACCACTTAATCATTGGGCCAGCCTTGTCCCCTCTAAATTACCATGCAAAATTTGAAATAATAAAACAATAAGGAGAAATCTAAGGTCTCCAAAAAAAAAAATCTGATATTGTACCTCTAACACAAATTGTGATCTTTTTTTCTGTGATTTTTTAAGGTCATTTATAACTTTTAAGTTGTAATTGATTTTCAAAATGTTAGGATCGATTGTAAATTAGCATAAAAAAAATTAACTCGAATTTTAAAAATAATAACACAACCCAATAAATTGTATGTTGTGAATAAACACCAAAAAATTATATTGAAACTCACAAAAAATATAAAATTTGAAGGTGGGGTAGTTTTCACCAAAACAAAAACACATAATTAATTCAAAGGTAACTCAAGTGATAGTAAGGACTAAGACCAGCCTATAGACTAGGCAATCGAAATTGTTGTTTAGAGCCCCATATTTTTTGGAGCCTTAAAAAAAGTTTTGGATTTAGATTTACTTAACTTTAAATTATTTTTAAAAAAATTGGATTCAAATTTAATTAAGTCTAGATTGATTTTCAAGATCCCAAAATAAAAATTTTAAATAAATGTTCAATTAAATCAAAATTTATTTTTCAGGACACTATTTTTTTTTAGACGAAGGTTCAATAAAGTCAATTTTTACTTTTATGAGTTTTATACTTTTATGAATTTTATACTAATATGATATTCATTATATTAATCATAATACTATTCATGTCTTAGGACTTACAATGTATAACAAAATTATGTAATTGTTTCGATCAACTTGAAAAGTACGTATTTTGATGGTCATTTGAAAAGTTAAATTTATTTAAATTTAAATTGATTTTGTTAATAACTTCTTTTGTTATCATAAAAAGCAAAAACATCACTAGTGTCTAATATTGAACTTTAAATTTAAACTCTTACTATTTAGTCCTTGAATAAAATTTATAAATATAAATAATATGCTAAAAAATTTGGATACATAAATTTAAATCGTAAATTGGCATCACAAATAACAAGATTTTTTTTAAAATAAATATATTTTAATATTTAATAAAAATAAAAAAAATTATATATTATCATAATAATCATAATTAATGAGGCCTCATTCAAGAATTTTGCTTAGGCCTATGTATTGGCTCGAGCCAATTTTGAGAGAAACAAATTGTAAATTCAGACATTCTGATTTTAAATCTTGATAACTCTTTCGGATTAGGTTATGAGGGATTCATCTCTCATTAATATCATAATTTTGATGTGGATAATTAAATATTGAGAAACAATTAGCGAAGGTGTGTAAGAGTTAATTCGAACACCCATTATGATTAAAAAAAAAATCAAGACAAAAAACACCTGAATTAGACTATAAAACACAGTACGTCCAAGGAAATTTTCGGTATCATACCGAAAATTCAAATTTGTGGAAATAATTACAATTTTAATAGTATGTTTACTAAATTTATGGATTATTTACAATTTCACCGGTTAGTAAACAAAACAAGATATTGAAATGACATGTCAGATAGTATACCATGATTACTAGTAATTTTGTTACCATAATGAAGGGAATATTTACAACTTCAGTTGTATATTTACCAAATTTGTAGAAATATTTACAATTTCAGTGGTATATTTACCACTTTTATGAGAATATTTACAAATTTAGTGGTATATTTATCAAATTTGTGAAAATATTTACAACTTCAATGAGTTACTTGTTAGACACCGGTTGGTAGATAAGACAAGATATTGAAATGACACATTATAATTGCTAGTAATTTTGTTACCATAATGAAGGGAATATTTAAATTTCAGTAGTATATTTATCAAATTTGTGAGAATATTTATAACTTCAATAGTATATTTACCAAATTTGTGAGAATATTTACAACTTCAATGGTATATTTACCAAATTTGTGAAAATATTTACAACTTCAGTGGTATGTTTACCAAATTTGTGAAAATAATTATAACCTCAATGATATGTGTACTAAATTTATGGGATTATTTACAACTTCAATGGATTCTTTACGACATTTATGAGAATATTTATGAGAGTTGTATTTAATTTATAAATAATTTACAACTAATGCAAGAAGATATACAATTTCAATGAATCAATTTACCACTTTTATAGAAATATTTACAACTTCAATGGATTCTTTATGCAAATATTTACAATTTCAGTGGATTGTTTAACAAATTTGTGGGGAATAATTACAACTGTAATGGATTGCTTACCAAATTTATAGCAATATTTATAACTTGAATAGTTTTTTTACCAATAACATGATTCGATGTTTATTTACTACAAAGCTCCCTTACAACACTTCAATTAATTCCTTTTTGAGGGCATTTAAGCAAATACATAACAACTGATCTATCATTTTTATTTTCGATCGATCACAATCCCACTTGCCTTTCAACTTTTACATCTGTAACTCAATGATTAATCATTGAGTATATTTGATCAATCAAAAATTTATATTGATCGATCAAATTGTTGCAGCTCATAAATACTAAAGGAAATCTGATATGTTTGATTTATCAAATATATTTTTGATCAAAAGTAGAAGTACTGGGAGATTTGATCGATCAAAATCATATTTGATCGATCAAATTGTTGCAGATTTTTAAAGTGAATCAGAAGTAAAAACCCTTTACTACAGTAATTGTTTACACAAATGTGGTAAGCAGTCCACTTAAGCTGTAAATATTCTCATAAATGTCGTAAAGAATTTACTAAAGTTGTAAATATTATCATAAACGTCGTAAAAAATTCATTGAAGTTGTAAATATTATCATAATTATGGTATGAAATCCATTGCACTTTTAAATATTTTCACAAATTTGGTAACACATACCACCGAGATTGTAATTATTCCTATAAAGAATCCATTAAAGTTGTAAATATTCTCAACCCCATTAGCAAGTAGTGGCCAGTGACATGTCTCCAATATACCAAGAAATGGACGTGACAAATAGGATGTTTCCATTTGTTGAATTATCATTTCGCCAATGATTTTATTCTTGTCAAGATTCCCAGGAATATAACACCAATTGGATAGTTGTAAATGGTAGAACAGCAATCAGGCCAATTGGACTATTCAATGCACTAGAAACAATAGCGTGTTCTTGGAAAAGTCTCAGATATAGGAAGAGACAAAAGTTTGGTGTTGTGGAGCAAAAACAATATAGAATTTAAAAAACCAAAGCCATTGAAACCCCATTTAGCTTAGGAATGATCATTAAACTACTGCTCAGGTGTTTCAGCTTAAGACATCTCATGAAATTAGGATCGATCCAATGGTGCTAGATTCTGCATCAGATCTTTGAAAAAAAAGATAAAAAATGGATGCGTTGAATTGCACAAAATAAATATTCAGTGAAGAGAGTATCTAGTTATATAGATGTAAGTCTAAAAGTGCCCTGAAAACATAATCCCAGAAAAACCAGATTACGTCAAAATCGTAATGGAAACAGAAATCTACCAGAAACTAACAGAATGTTTAACACTAACAGGAAATATATCAGTTGCATCACACATGATGAATCCCAAATGAACTTGTTCTGTTAAATTTTACCACAAAGTAAATATTATAAACCTTCCAGCAATAACATCTCGAACTAGTCACTCTTTATTGAGACTACCAGTACCAGCTAAACAAACATTTAAATTTTGAACACCTTCGAACTATAGAATAGAGACAATGCAACAGTGAATAACAATTAGAAAAGAACAGCTTGCACATCTTAATTCACAACATATTATTCTCCTACATTCTTCACTTTTTCCCAATTTGTTTGATAAGCTTGAGTTGAACCTGCCATTATCTTGTATTCAAATTACAACCCCTCTGGAAGGTAGAACCATTATGAGTGCGCAAACAATATATGAATCCTCCTTATTTCCCACTAAATTATCAGCTTTCACCATCGCTTCAATCACAAAGATACAAATCTTGTGCTGAGGACTGATGCCTTTGTCAACCAGTTCTTCAACACGACTTCTTCTGTATGATCTTCCCTCCATTTTCCCATTAGCCCTAGAATAAGGGCCAATAGTCAGGAGGGTGGTACTGCACCTATTCCAGAACATCAATCTTAGTAGGAGTATGCTTCATACAAAATCCTGAATTGAACACTGTCAGAGTAGATTAAATGACATTGCTCACTCCTGACTGGCAAGGAAATGAATGGAATGAATTGGCTTGTATGATCTAGCAAGAAGCACTTCTGAAGCCCACATGAACAAAATTTTCCCATAATGGAGACTCTTAGCTAAATCTGTCATTTGGGGCTGTATTCAAATCAAGAATTGATGGAAAACCCTCCTCTATAATGAAACCCTTTGGCCCTTCTCCAACAAAGGTAGATACTTTACTAGAAGGAAAATCATTGTGGACCACTCTTTTCAAAATTATCTACACTCCCCAACACACATATGTGTGTTGTGATCGATCGATCATATTTAATAATCAATCATGGACTAATAAATGTCGTAAAAAATACCATTGAAGTTATAAATATTTCCATAAAAGTGGTAAATCCAATTTTTGTTTAATGATAAAAAATATTTGTTTAATGATCTATCAAACATATTTTTGATCTATCAATTAAAAAATCCAATTTTTGAAAAAAATTTGAAAAATTGTATTTTTCTCAATTTTTAAAAAAATTTTGATTTTTTCCAATTTTTAAAAAATTGGATTCTTCAAATTGGATTTAAAATTTTTTTAAAATTTTTTTTCAAAATTGAATTTAACATGTTTGATAGATCAAACATATTAGATGTCCCCAGTATTTATGATCCGCAACAATTTGATCGATCTGCTAAGAAATACATTACAGTTGTAATTATTTCTACAAATTTGGTAAATAATTCACTGAAATTATAAATATTTCCATAAAAGATCTATTAAAGTTGTAAATATTTTCATAAAAGTGATAATTGATCCATTAAATTTGTATATTTTTTTGGATTAGTTGTAAATACTCCCATAAAAGTGATAAATATACTACTGAAATTGTAAATATTTTTACAAATTTGATAAATTTACTACTGAAGTTATAAATATTTCATTCATTATGATAACAAAATTATTAGTAATCATGATATACTATCTGACATGTTATTTTAATGTCTTATCTTATCTTGTCTAATAATCGATGAAGTTATAAAATTCATAAATTTAATAAATATATCACTGAAATTATAATTATTTTCATAAAATTTTTTATACGGTACCAAAAATTTCCTTGAATGTACCGTAATCTTCTTCTAAAACACGTTATTATACGGTACTCATTTAATACGCAAACAGACAAAGTCCCCAATTTTCTGCTTTAGCGGATTTGGGGAAACATCTGCTTTTCACCAAAAGTCTCTTCCTTGTGGACAGGTTTTTTTTTTTCTTTTGATCAAATCTATAGAAGACTGGTGACATGACAGCTTTCACCCATTCATCATGACCATGAGTACTAAACCCCCCTAGAAATGGGTTACTGTGCACCAGATTTGAACCTCATTTTAGGCCTTCATTCTTCTTCTGCGTTGTATCATGTCCACCTTCTCCATCATATCACCTCCACTGCACACAGGTTTATAGGAGGCCACTGATCAAATCCTTACCGTGCGCGTGAAATGATTAGTAACTGTGACCTCAAATATTATAATTAAAATTTTAAAAATTGAAACAAGATTTAAAAAAATTATAATATTTTTGTTATAAATAAATTAAAAAACTCGTATCAAAATTCACAAAAATTATAAAACTTGAAGATACCAAATTTATTCGTACTGTTCTCCCTAATAAAATTATCAGGAAGTACCTAATGTTATTTTTTCCCTTAATTTAAAGGGAAAAAACTATTCTCTAAAATAAATCAAGGCATTTAAGATTTTGACAAAAATTTTAATGAAGCTCACCATTGATTGACATAATTGTATATTGGAAGAATTATATTTAGATTTATTGAGATTTGTCATTTAATCACTCGTATTCTTGGACATTAGAAATGTTATATATAAACCCCTTAAAATTTGTACAAGTTTAACACTTAGACCACTGTCTTTTGAAATCCTAAAACAAAATATCAAATATTTTAAATTTTACAACCAAAATTCATGTTCTATTATAACATTTATTAAAATAAAATTAAAAATAAAAATCTAATTTTTTTTTAAAATCAAATTTCAAGGGTCTGATTGATTAAATGAGAAATTTCATAGATTTGAGTGTAATTTTCTCTTGTATATATATATATTAAAAATAACCCGTACCTGAAGGCACGGTACAACGTAAACTAACCAGTTAATTCCCTAAAAAAATTTATTTAATTTAAAAAATATTATTTAGAGACTATTCCGGCAAAATTTATTCTAAAAATAAGAATTCAGAAAAATCTCAACCTATCTATAAAAATTAGAGTCTCTTGAATGCACAATACAATCAAATCAAAGCTAAAAATTCAACTTGGTTTCCTTTGNTGGATTTGAGTGTAATTTTCTCTTGTATATATATATATTAGGAATAACTCGTGCCTGAAGGCACGGTACAACGTAAACTAACCAGTTAATTTCCTAAAAAATTTTATTTAATTTAAAAAATATTATTTAGAGACTATTTCAGCAAAATTTATTCTAAAAATAAGAATTCAGAAAAATCTCAACCTATCTATAAAAATTAGAGTCTCTTGAATGCACAATATAATCAAATCAAAGCTAAAAATTCAACTTGGTTTCCTTTGAAAATAGAAGACCATGAAATACTAACATATATACAAAATTGAAAAACAAACGAAGCAATCCCCTAACATCAACGATTCATACCCAACCACCAAAACAATCAGCAATTTCACATCTAGCTAAACATATCCTCATAATCGTGAAATTAGTTCACTATACTAAAATCAAGATTAAACAAAAAACCACGCAAATTCGTGATTTTTTTTATTTGCATAAAGATACGAAGTAATGAAAACTTAAATTAGAACTTGAAGAATATTACTGTGCCTAAAGACACTTTGCAATCTAAAATAAATAGTTAATTTGAAATAATTTTTTCAACATTCGCTTTAATTAAATAGATTGAAATCAATNAAAATTGAAAAACAAACGAAGCAATCCCCTAACATCAACGATTCATACCCAACCACCAAAACAATCAGCAATTTCACATCTAGCTAAACATATCCTCATAATCGTGAAATTAGTTCACTATACTAAAATCAAGATTAAACAAAAGACCACGCAAATTCGTGATTTTTTTCATTTGCATAAAGATACGAAGTAATGAAAACTTAAATTAGAACTTGAAGAATATTATTGTGCCTAAAGACAGTTTGTAATCTAAAATAAATGGTTAATTTGAAATAATTTTTTCAACATTCGCTTTAATTAAATAGATTGAAATCAATCAAGCCCCCACTTATTTTTAAAAAAATTTGGCAAAACTTCCTATAAAAATAGGAGCTCAAGAAGATTTCAACATGTCTACAAAACTCACAATCATACAGAACAATCATAATAATGCTCTGTACCACTACAATTCAATTCTATTTCCACCACAATCATCATACAACACAACTTAATTCCATACTCAACCATCAATTCACATCAAAACCAAACATATCCTCATAACCATGTATAATTAGTTCATCGTACTAAACACGGAACAAATAAAACACACACAAATCCACATAGTTGTGCCTAAACATAAATAAGATTAAATAATAACTAAAATATGTAAAATGAGTCATTCTTTAATCTAGTNCATGTCTATAAAACTCACAATCATACAGAACAATCATAATAATGCTCTGTACCACTACAATTCAATTCTATTTCCACCACAATCATCATACAACACAACTTAATTCCATACTCAACCATCAATTCACATCAAAACCAAACATATCCTCATAACCATGTATAATTAGTTCATCGTACTAAACACGGAACAAATAAAACACACACAAATCCACATAGTTGTGCCTAAACATAAATAAGATTAAATAATAACTAAAATATGTAAAATGAGTCATTCTTTAATCTAGTTTATCAAAATGAGTCATTTATCTGCACATCATTGTAAAAACAGTTTCTCCATCACAGTCTTGAATGTAATTGTATCAATCCAAATCCGCAGCTTCTAATTGGGAGAATGTACAACAATCTAGAATTTACAAAAACAGTTAAATTTAGTACACGACAGAAATTTTAAAATTATAAACTTGAAAATCTAAAATAAACTATAAAAAATAAATTTAGTTACCTTATTCAAACAATAACCCGTGCCTGAAGGCACTGTACAATTTAAAANAGCTAAAGATTCAGCACTATTCAATGCAAAAGATCCAAGCTTTCAGCTACCCACCAAAGATAAACAGCAAAATACCATCCTTAGTTCCCAAATACTTTACAAATTGCAAAACCTAAATCAACATACCTTTGACTAGAGACAAAAAATACCAACCCAGTTGGAGTTTTCATACTGTGGAAGCCATTATGCCAAAGTCGTACTGTGGAAGCAGCCACGTTTAAAGTGAAGAATGGGAAACATTAGAAAAATGCTTGAATTGGGTTTTTCCACTCAAATGCTCACCACCACCACCCAATTAAAGGACCAAGAAAAGGCAATTCAGAAACTTAGAAACTTATAAAAACATAAAACAACCAAAATATTATTCTTGGCAATCAAATCAATTGAGTATCCTCAGAACTTTTTGAACAATACACGGAGCACTCTGGTAAAGGATATCATCATCAATTGTCTANATCAAAAAATTAGAAATATTCGTTAAATACACATATTCATACTACTTGACATACAATCTCTATCAATTAACACACAATAAACCTCTATTTCATACTAATTGACATACAATCTCTATAAATAATCAAAACCCTATAAAAACCTATTTGAAGTAACCAATACTGAAGTAACCAATATAATATTGAAGTAACCAATATAATAGAACCAATAAAATGAAAAATTAAATTTTTGATAACATACACACACGTACAAAACAAAAACAAACATTCACAACAATGGAACCTAGGTACCGCATAACATTTCAAAATAAGTAAAGCTAATTGAACAATAGCTAGAAAAAAAACATCTGAAATATAGTGCACACATCTAAGGCAATGGGACTGCAAGCTCCAATCAAAGAGGCTCACCAAAGCAAAAAGTGGCAAACTTCATAATGCATCAACAATAGAACAGTGGCCACAAAAAAACAAAAAATAAAATATAAGACATGAACTAAAGATTCAGGACTATTCAATGC